CAGTAGCACCGAATTTAGTATTCAGTGCATCCCACAACTCCTTAGCGTCGGTCATATGCATATACACCTCGACCAGACGATCGCCAAGAACGCTAAGAATGCATCCCACAAAGAGAGTAGTGGCTTCCTCGAATTGCTTCTGCTGTTCAGCAGTAAGAACTTCTTCAGGTTTGCCAGTACTCACCCAGAAGCATTTCATAGCTGTCAGCCACAGAGTGACCCTGATCTGCCATCTCTTAAAATGCACACCGGTGAATTTATCCGGCCTCAGTGCATCGGCAAAACCAGCCATAGTAAAATCACAGTGCCTATAATAAGGTTTTTGGATTGTTGAGATTATAGACATATAATGATTTAATCTATTCCATAAATAAATCATGACATTACAGATGAAAACTAGCATGAACGCATCATTAGATCTACACATGTAAACTACACAGTATAACATGAACAGATCAAATATGCGCAACATATTGAACACGTACCGAGGTGACGGAAAGACCGGCTGCTTGGTCGAAACTTTTCGCAAGTGTCTACGAAGGCACGAAACACGCGAGCGAAGAGGAAGGCGAGCCGTCGCGAACGAACAGGGAGCAGTCACGCGAAGCGCTTCCCAAAAACCTTATTGCCGCCTTCTCCCGGTGCAGAACGTCGAAGGCAGAGGTTCCGGAGACCTGCTCTCCCGATCGCCGGTGCACGCCGGCGAGCGGGATGGAGTAGTCTACGAGCGACGGCGCAGTATAGAGTAGGAAGCAAACCCTAGATTGATTTTTTTGTATGTTGCGTGAAGACGGCAGGTCGGTTTATATAGAGAAGGGTCGCTTGATCAGGGCGCCCGCACGATCTCTACTGCGCGTAACCGAACCGGATAAGTCGCGCGTAACTTATCCGGACTCCACGCCGTTTGCACGCACCGGATTTTTCGGAACGTTTCCAAAACAAAAACGAATCCGAATTTGCAGCAAAACAAAACTGCAAAAAGAAGCTGCATCTGCGCAAGGGTGAGGAGCCAATTTTTCGGACCATTCGACGCGTACGTCGTGCACGCGCGCCCCCGGCCCGGCCCGGCGAGCGAGCGCGCGCGTGTGTTTCCCCTCTTCTCTCCACCACACATGCTTCAAGCGACTAGGAGGGCATCCTCCATTTTAAGGAGGTCCCCCTCTCCTAGAATAAGCAAGGTGGTACTAAACTCCACATGCATGCCATCTCATGAGGTGGGCTTTTGTGATTTTTCAAAGAATTAATCTTCGAGTGGGCTAAGGCCCATTCATTAATTCCAACATCCCCTTGACCTAATGTATAAGAGCAAGTTTAATAGTACAGTCCACTACTAGCTCAAATTCATTTATAGCCAATTTAATAGTCAATTCATACAATAGTTGCTTACTATACTATTAATATACGGTCTCACCTGTCATACACACATTGTGTCTTAAGTCCGTGCTACAGCTGGCTACATATCTGTAGCCCGCTATTTTTCTCTCTCATTTTTTATCTTATTAAAATATATTTGTAGCTGACTAATAGTCTGCTATTGTACATGCTCTAATTTTGCCATTTCACATGAAAAGAAAATCCCCAAGTACTCAACTCAAGCAGTAATTAAACAGTAGCACTCCAGTGTTTATATAGGTCAATTAAAGGGATAAAGTATTGTTTTAGGATCCAGCGCTAGGGTAGGGTGTCGCATGGAAACCCACTCTTCGTTCACTCTTGACTGACGAGAAAACGCATGCGTTGATGGCCGGGCTACTGAAAAGCTGCTAAACTCGCATTGCTGTAAGATTAACGAACCAATAATATGCTGCAGCGGCCGCAGATAGCTGCAGGCAGGCCTTGCTGATGGCACGCACAGCAGAGGCAGAAGCCGCCCAGGACAGAGGAGTCTGGACTCAGGAGGAGGAGGTGTCACGTCAAGACAGGAGGCCCATGACTTTTTCTCTGCACTTGATTGCTTTGCGTTTGCAGCTAGCTGCCTCCTTTCCTTTTTGTGTCGCACCTCTCACATTTGCACCGGTGCGTGGTCAGAGTCTCTCGATCGACTGCACTGATGATCGATGTACTCCTACTACCTTTTCTTCTAGGCTTTCTTCAGCAAACAAGCTGCAAACAAGGCCTTGGGATGTTTGTTCAGCTAGCTGAGCATGAGCCGAGTAGCTAACCCCCGGCATGCATGACACAAATAGCCTTTGGACTTTGGTGCTGGTTTTCAGCGACTGGATTTCTAGCCTGAAAACCCCGTGTCTCCCTCGCACGAAACGTGTTGCTTTGTTCCTGTCTCACTCGAAAGAAGCGCCTGGTCGAGCCAACACCACTCTGCCTAAGTATTGGGCTTTGCAGGTAGCCAGATCGAACGGACGGCCTGGTTCCAGGCTTCGCAGCGCACGCGCTCCAGTGGTGCGAGGCCCAGAAGAGGGGAAAGCTAACGGCCGCTGCAACCGCGGGCTCCAGCCCAGCCCACACGCAGAAAACCGCAGGCCCCGTATGCGGAACGAGTGCTCCCGTCCTTGCTGGATCAGCCCGTGTCCGACCGCTACCCACCAACCTGGAACTCGCGCAAACACCAGGATTTCGTGCGGTTTTAGACCGCTTTTCGGGGACAAAATAGCGTGCGCGCCGCAACCAGATTGAGCCGAGGCGCTAAGAGCAGGTACAATACTAGACTACCAGTTATAAATATATTTTAATAAGATAAAAGATAAAAAAAAAGAGGAGTGGGCTACAAATTTATAGCCAGCTGTAGCACGGACTCTAAGACACAATATGTGTATGACAGGTGGGGCCATATATTATAATACTACCTCCGTTTTTTAATAGATGACGCCGTTGACTTTTTATCACATGTTTGACCATTCGTCTTATTCAAAAATTTACGTAATTATAATTTATTTTGTTATGAATTGTTTTATCACTCATAGTACTTTAAGTGTGATTTATATCTTATACATTTGCATAAAATTTTTAAATAAGACGAATGGTCAAACATTTGAGAAAAAATCAACGGCGTCATCTATTAAAAAACAGAGGGAGCAGTATAGTAAGCAACTATTGTATGAATTGGCTATTAAATCGGATATAGATAAATTGAAGCTTGTAGTGGGCTATACTATTAAACTTGCTCTCAGCGGTGTTGGTCACCGCCTCACCGGCCGTTTCAAATCCCAACTGGCAGACAGAGTCATACACGTACCGAACACGGTCCTTTGAGCTTCGTACTAGGATGTCCCTCTCTTCAGACAACATGGTATACGTTTTGGTGGAGTATCATGTCAAGGAGCAAATGTGACAAGGCAATCAACCATATCTCTACTCTACATAAACAAATCCGGAGCCGTTCACGCGTTGCAATTTCATTAATCGCAGTTATTCACATAGGTTCTGGACTTCTGGTTCCGATGAAAGCCAGTCTCGTGGTGCTCGCGGCCGCCGTGGCGGCGGCGGCGGCGTTGTTGGTGTCCCTGGACCCCCGGAGCGACGACGTGCCAGTGCTGGAGATACGGGAGCGCGACGTCGAGCTGATCACCGTGGACGCCGGCGGCGCGGTCGGGCCGGAGAGCGTGGCGTTCGACGGCGACGGCGAGGGCCCGTACACGGGCGTGTCGGACGGGAGGGTGCTCAAGTGGCTTCCCCTGGAGCGCCGCTGGGTCGAACACTCGTCCGCCGTCATCGAGCCACAACTGTAAGCTTTAATCTCTATCTGTTTCTGTTGAATGAATGCTGGTTGATCCTGCGATTCATCCCATAGTACTGTTCCCTCGTTCTGCATGCATTTACTTGCGTGTGATGCTACTCAGATCTAAGTACAGTTGCAACTCCTCTCAGCAATGATAATTCTTGGCATGTGTACTTAAGTCTATTATTCCCCTGTCCTACAGAAAGTAAATCAATTTATGTAGCAGAGCTGCCGCATCATTGATTTGCAATGGCTTTCGGCACACTTCCATTGCATATGATTCTTCTTCGATAAGATTGCACGATGCTGGTAGCTGAAATCTCATAGTAATAATCATATTCACTGAAAACAATACCACGATGCTCAACCCGCATCCACCCAAATACTACACTATCCATCTTCTCTGTCTTCATGGACGGTCACCGGCCGTCGCCTGTAGCTTTCTTTCCTTTTCCAACACACCTATGGCAGCTTGATTAGCTAACCAACCAAGCGCAAAGTATCTTGATACATCATACATGTACTGCAACTCTAACGACATGTTATCTTCATGGGCACATGGTAGTCTTACATTTGCTTTGCCAATCTACTGAAAACTCACTTATGGTCTCATCTACCTTATGCTGTTTACTTTTAATGGATATAATTGGAAGCTCTTTTGGGACCATGCCAACATATTGGCGCATCATTCTGTAAGACTAACGTTCTGAAATCTGAACTAGGTAGGGTAAGTTCAAATAAGTTATCGCCGTGTTTAGTACCAAAGTTTTTTTTTCCAAACTTCAAACTTTTCCATCACATCAAAACTTTTCTACACACATAAACTTCCAATTTCCGTTACATCGTTCCAATTTCAACCAAACTTCCAATTTTTGTGTGAACTAAACACAGCCTATGTTGAGATTGGTTCCTTTTTTATGCATTTTTTAGTTTCTTCTGAAAAAAAATGTTGTTTTAGGTCAACAACGGTTGTCGTTTGTACACGATGGGATCATGGGATGGTTATGGGGCACCGAACTTAAAATACACAATGTCGATCTTCTTTTTTCAAAGTTCAGAGATAGATGTCCACTTTTCATACACTATCTGTTCTCTTAAAAGAACGTCTTATTCAATCGACGTACATTACAAAGTAGTAGTAGTCATCACTATTTAACGCTGAATAGAGAAGCATCTTTCAGGAATAGTTGATGTTGTACCTAAGATTAGCCTGCTGCTCTTCATGTAAAATTGCAGAGAATGAGTAATAAGAAACTCTAAAAAAATGTGAAACATACTCGTATTTCAGGTAGTAGTTGCGAGTTGCAACCGTGAGACAGGAACACGCCTGTCAGCATGGACACAGTGGCAACTATTGGACCGTACACTGGTCTTGGATCTTTCTTTCTCTTTCACCATTAAAATTTTAATGGTTGTAGATATGGAGATGGCAATGCATTTACTATCCTACCATGATCAATAAATCAACACCTAGGAAGTTAGGATCGGTTTGCAGGTAGCATAAAACCAACCCATACTCTGCCTAGTGGGGGAACACTCCCATTTGTGGGTAGCTCACCAAAAGCCTAGCTTACTTAGCTACGATGAACACCACGGCCAAGCTCTTGGCGCTCGCCGTCTTCGCGGCGGCGGCGATCTTGTCGCTGGACTCGCGGAGCGACGTGAGGCAGCTGGAGATAAGGGACGGCGACGTCGAGCTGATCCCTCTGCTCGACGGCGCCGCGGGGCCGGAGAGCATAGTGTTCGGCGACGCCGGCGATGGGCCGTACACGAGCGTGTCTGACGGGAGGATCCTCAAGTGGCTGCCGCCGCCGGAGCGCCGGTGGGTCGAGCACTCCTGCTCCGTGCCGGAGCTGTAAGTCTTTTTCCACTTTTGGAAACTATTCAGTATTCACCCGTGTTGCTAGCTGCCTAGTATAGTTCTCTGTTGTTCTCATGATTTGGTTAGTAGTAGTTGGTTGGTTAGTTTACGATCCAGGTCCAGGGACCGGACAAATACAGTTGCACTGTCCAAATCCCCAATTAATTGATGATTAATTGTGAGCTTAATATGGCCTGTGAGGCTGTGAGTTACATCTGTACATATAGAAAACAACTGAAAAGTTCTTGGTATAATTCAACTTCAGAGTTCATATCATCAACAATGTTATTGTTCAGTTCATTTCATTTTCACTACTCCTTTTTGACTATCATTTATGCTATGGTCCAAATAATATTTATAGTATGGCAGATTCCGTCCTGAATTGTTGGAACGGCATTTATCGATTGATTGGTCGTTGACCTGAACTGCTGCAGGTTGGATAGCTGCAGAGGATCCAAGGACACGAAACGGGAGCAGGAGTGTGGGCGTCCACTGGGCCTCAAGTTCAATAGCAAGACTGGTGAGCTGTACGTCGCAGATGCGTACCTTGGGCTGAGAGTGGTCAGTCCGGGTGAGAACGTGTCTAGGCCGCTTGTTCCTAAGAGGACAGGAAGCCCATTCAGCTTCTCCAACGGCGTTGAGATTGACCATGAAACTGGAGTAATCTACTTCACCGAGACCAGTACAAGGTTTCAGAGAAGGTACTGGACCAATAAAATAAATAAATTTATTATTATCACTCATCAGTTTGTTATTTTTTTAATGAACAATTCATGTAATATATATATATATATATATATATATATATATATATATATAATTTTTCATTCAAATTATTTGTAGGGAGTTTCTAAACATAGTTATAACGGGTGACAACACTGGAAGATTGTTGAAATACGATCCAAAAGAAAACAAGGTTGAAGTCTTAGTTGATGGCCTACGTTTTCCTAATGGTTTGGCTATGAGCATCGATGGTTCTTATTTGCTACTTGCGGAAACCACAACGGGTAAGATCCTAAGATATTGGATTAAAACACCAAAAGCATCAACTATTGAAGAAGTTGCGCAACTACCTGGGTTTCCAGACAACATTAAGATGAGTCCTAGAGGAGGGTTTTGGGTTGGTCTTCATGCCAAGAGAGGGAAGATCGCTGAGTGGTCAATTTCTTATCCTTGGCTAAGGAAACTAATCTTTAAGCTACCAGCTCAACGCATTCAACGCATCACATCGTTCTTGACAGGATTTGGTCGTCAAGTGATAGCTTTGAGGTTGAGTGAGGATGGGAAGACCATAGAAGCAATGAGTGTTCATGGTGATGTCAGGAAGTTGTTCAAGTCTATTAGCGAAGTTGAAGAAAAGGATGGGAACCTCTGGATAGGATCTGTTTTGTCACCTTTTCTTGGGCTTTATCGTATATAGTTTAATACATAGAGAGAGAATGCATAAGTTATAAAGGTAGTGAAGATAATAGTATACAAGCGTGGTGTTATGATATGAAGCATATGTAACAAAATAATAGATCTAGCATTTAGTGAGTGTTCAAAATAATGGTTGCCAATTTTTATTGAAAAAGCTAATGTCTATCATCATTACCAGCAACGAGACTTAAGATTACAATGGTATGAATAAAAAACCACCTGAACAACTCTATATTTCTAATTAGAAAGCTATGTATTGTGCAGTAATGTTAGGTTGTTTATGAGTTTTTTTTTCACCTATTCGATAAGATATTGAGTCTGGTTTGTATCGTAAAGTTTTGATTGCTCTTTTTTTCTTTAACTAATCAAAATATGAATTATGACGTAGATTGTGTTGATTTCCTTTTGAATTTTTTATGCTACTTAAACTTAGCATAAGCACAATTTCCATTGCGTGTAATTATTTTGTGAAGAACTCGAGCCTGACTGATTTTAAGAAAAAAATTTACCTTTGGCCCTCAAGTCTTAAAACCGTCGAACAAAAGATAAAGCCAAAATCAGATTAAAAGGCCATATTTGAGCGATCAAAAGTGGATTTGTTTATTTGTATTGTATAAGATCACAATGTGAACCAAAAGAAACACAGCAAAAGCCTCACACTACTGTGCTGTGAACAACATCCTTTCTCCCAAATTCTGCCTTTGATATGCGTATGTGACAAACAACCTTACCTTGGCAAGCTAGGCTACTCCTGTCATCCATCTTCAGACTTCAGAGCTTCAAAAAGAAGTTGGTTGGTTTGGTTGTTTTACACAAGCTTGCCAATTGCTCATGTCATGTGGTCACTCCCCAAGTCACCAGCATCACCACTCTCGCATGCTCCATTTCTCCCCCGAGCCTTGTGTGCAAGTCCGACTTGTCTTCTTCGCCGCAAAAACCACGCCGCCATCACAGCATTCGTGCATCCCACGAAACCCCCGTTGTCATGTCCAGATAAGAGCTCCCCCTCTGACTCACACACACATCACCGAGAAGCAGAGCAAGTGCATCTCCCTCTCCCACCATTTGATTCGATTCCCCTAAACCCCCGAGTCGTCGACGCCACAAACCCCGGCGACCACCATGGCCTCCTCCCTCCTCTCCTCCCCAAAACCCTCCTCCTTCTCCTCCGCAAACCCCACCTCCACTCCACGCCCACGCGCCCAAACTCTCTCCCCCTTCCGCGCCGCCGCCCCACGCTTCTCCCATGGCCTCGCCACCGCCGCCGCCGCCGCAAACCCTAGCGCCTCCCGCCGCTGCTACCACCGCGCCTTCGCCCGCCCCGTCCGGGCGTCCATGGCGCAGCCGCGGCGCCCGGAGTACGTCCCCAACCGCATCGACGACCCCAACTACGTCCGCATCTTCGACACCACCCTCCGCGACGGGGAGCAGTCCCCCGGGGCCACCATGACCAGCGCCGAGAAGCTCGTCGTCGCGCGCCAGCTCGCCCGCCTCGGCGTCGACATCATCGAGGCCGGGTTCCCGGCCTCCTCCCCCGACGACCTCGACGCCGTGCGCTCCATCGCCATCGAGGTCGGGAACACGCCCGTCGGGGAGGACGGCCACGTGCCGGTCATCTGTGGCCTCTCGAGATGCAATAAGCGAGACATTGATGCTGCCTGGGAGGCCGTGCGGCACGCGCGGCGGCCGCGCATCCACACCTTCATTGCCACCAGCGAGATCCATATGCAGCACAAGCTAAGGAAGACGCCCGAGCAGGTGGTGGCCATTGCCAAGGAAATGGTGGCCTACGCCCGCAGCCTAGGCTGCCCTGATGTCGAGTTCAGCCCTGAAGACGCTGGCAGGTATCACTTCTAATTGTAAATTTGTTCAACCTTTAGGTCCAATTTTTGAAATTGTAAGCCTTAAAATGACCAAAAGTTTCATACCTGGAGTAGGAATTACAATGTTGGTTGGAACTGGCATCTGACCTATTGGTTGGAGTAATAATCTAGATGTCTGAAAGTATTGTGAATGAAAGAGGTCCATCCTACTTTTGGGAAGCTAGGTTGATTTTGAGGCAAAGTGATATATACTTAGTATATGAAGCGCTTACTTTACTTTGGTCTGGAGATTAAGTACTATGCATCATGTATACCCTACTTTGAACACATTCATCATTGACTCAGTGATGCTGGCATGTATCACTTCTAACTGCAAATTTGTTTGATTTTTAGGCCACTATTTTTGGCCCCTTTGAATTGGAGGATTGTCAGAATTTTGGAAGATTTAATTTCCCAAGGAATTTTTCCTACGAAACCCTTTGATTCATAGGAAAGTATAGGAAATTTTCCTTAGGATTGCATTCCTATAGCTCAATTTCATAGGAAAATAAGCAAGAGGTTCAACCTCTTGGAAACTATCATTTTCTTTGTTTGTTTCCTATGATGCTATCAAAGGGACCCTTTTCATATTTCCTGTGTTTTCCATTCCTGTAGGATTAGGAAAACACACCACTTCAATTCCTGTGTTTTTCCTATTCCTGTGTTTTTTCTATCCTGCGTTTCAAAGGGGCCCTTAAACTGTAACCCTTGAAATGACCAAAAGTTTCATACCTGGAGTAGTAATTACAATGTGGTTCGGAACTGGCATCTGACTAATTAGCTAATAATCTAGATATTGGAAAGTACTGTGAATGAAAGAGGTCTATCCAACTTTTAATTGCAAATTCGTTCGATCATTAGGCTACTTTTAAAATAGTCAGCGTTGAAATGTCCAACAATTTCAGTCATTATGATGTGGGTTGGAATTGACACCATACCTAGTAATATATATGCCTAAGTACTGTGCATGTAAGAGGTCCATCCAACTTTAGTGAAGTGGGGTTGATTTTGAGGCGTGCAGTGTATGCCTAGTTGCTTACTATCAAGTACTGAATATACTTTGGTCTGTAAAGGAAAGTATTATGTATATTGTATCTTGGATACCTTCATCCTTGTACTGCTGGTAGATGTCTGCCAGCTACTGAAATTTTGTGGTTGTGTTCATCTTTAAATCTACACACGAAGCTTATTGTTGCATATCATTTACTGTACATTCTTTGCTTTCAAACATGTTGGTGCAAAATGAATGACTAAACATTAGCTCATGCCAAGCTATTGTCTGTGGTTTATTAGTCACAATCAATTAGCCTCCTTTTTTATGCGCAAAAGACTGTGGCATGATATTATTCACTCTGTCTTGCAGGTCAAACAGAGAGTTTCTATATCATATTCTAGAGGAAGTCATAAAAGCTGGAGCAACAACACTCAATATCCCAGACACTGTTGGATACACTCTTCCTTATGAATTTGGGAAGCTAATTGCTGATATAAAAGCAAACACTCCAGGAATTGAAAATGCTATTATTTCTACTCATTGCCAGAATGACCTTGGTCTAGCAACCGCCAATACATTAGCGGTACTACCTTTTCCATGTCTCTTTGATCCATTATCATTGGTTTAATCATGTCACTAATGTGACTTAACCTTTAGGGCGCTCATGCAGGAGCACGGCAATTAGAGGTGACTATCAACGGTATTGGTGAAAGGGCTGGAAATGCTTCTTTGGAAGAGGTGAGCTCGTATACTATGTTTATGTTGTTTGTTGGTATTTTGCACATGTTCATCTAAATGGTTTGTAGAAGAATGAATGCAAGTAATATTGATTTCCTATATGTGCAACTTTTTTTTAAAAAAAAAATCTTTTTCAGGTTGTGATGGCAATTAAATGTCGCCGAGAGCTCTTAGGAGGTCTGTATACTGGAATCAATACCCAACATATCACTATGTCAAGCAAAATGGTACAATTATGTTTGTTTTCTTGCTCTTTTTTTTTTATCTTTTGTCTTTTTCAGGTGACTGAAAATTTCATGCACTTCTGCAAATGCTCTGCCTATTCTAGGTACAAGAGCACAGTGGACTTCATGTACAACCACATAAAGCTATTGTCGGTGCCAATGCCTTTGCACATGAAAGTGGAATTCATCAGGTAACTAAATTTGCATTCTTGTCCTAATATTGCCATCAAATTTCTTGACTGGGTTCTCCGTAGTGCTGAAGGTGGTACCACAATGTCACATCTAGGTTCTTGTTTCTGTTTTTCATTTATCTATATTTTATAACTCTAAAAGTGTTTCTTGCCATCAATTTACATTTTAGGACTAAGGAATTGATTAGCATTACTGTTTATTTCCTATCTAAAATTTGGAAGTTTCAGAAATGTTTCTAGTTCTCAGTTTGCATATTTGCACTAGGAAAAAGTTTTGCTCACATTTTTATAGTATCACATACTGAGGGAAGTCAAATTATTTTTATGGATACCTTTTTTTAATCTCAGCTCCGAGGAATTCATTTTCTGATATATGATAGATCAATCATGGTTTTATATGAACCTTGCCTTGCATATTCTCATATTAACTGTGTTGGTTCTAGAGTGAAGTGATCTTGATATTCACTTTTGTTATTCTGTTTTCAGGATGGGATGCTTAAATACAAAGGAACTTATGAAATAATTTCTCCTGATGATATTGGTCTAACACGTGCAAACGAGTTTGGTATTGTTCTTGGGAAACTCAGGTATCATCCATACATATGTTCCCCCATAATTTGATTTCTTGCAAGTTGCAACATTCTCCCTGAGTGTTTCTCGAGGAGATATTTTTTCTACTTTATGCACTTTCTGCTAATTTGGTGCAAAATACACTTTCCAACTATCAAACACTTTATGTCGAATGGCCATATCATATGGATACTCCATGTAAGGTCTAAATTCCTAGAGATATGTATGCAGATCATGTCACAGTACAATTTTTACTTGAGAAATTGTGTGATGCCATCCTTTGCTTAAAGTTAGTGAATTTGCTTTTCTTTTTAAATTTTTTAGGTTAAACCTTGCTCACTTGACATTGAGGAAACCTCTACCTGGCCTGGTCATTTTTTTTATCTATTTATCATATGTTTTTCTGTACTTCTCTAGAATAGAGATATTCTTTTTCATCTTTACTCTTGTATATTAGGTGAGGTTGATGCAGCAATCCTGCTCAAATACTTACGATAGGCTTGCAATTATTACTTAAATCTGATTTGAGATTATCAAACTCAAGTTCATAATTATGCTTTCTTGTCTTTTTTTTTTCAGTGGAAGGCATGCTGTGAGATCTAAACTAGTGGAGGTATTGTATTTGTCTTTATTTTTCTAGTTAGGACTAAATGCCTTCTTTTCAGTTATCGTTGCTGAACACTACCTTGTCATCCAACACGTAGCTTGGATATGAAATCACTGACAAGGAATTTGAGGATTTCTTTAAACGCTACAAAGAGGTTGCAGAGAAGAAAAAGGTGACAGTTTCCTGAGTGCTCTGTTGCTCGATTGACATATTCAACCATTTTTTTTCTGTAAAACAGTAAGCATTTTGATAACTTCTAGCTTATGTGTTTTAAATCATTGTAGCGTGTAACTGATGAAGACATTGAGGCGCTGTTGTCTGATGAGATATTTCAGCCCAAGGTTTTTTGGTCCCTTGCTGATGTACAGGTATAATTTTGCCACATTTTACTATTTGGCTAATGGAGAAGTTGATATGTTAAAATTGATATGAAGCCTTTTTGCAGGCAACTTGTGGAACACTTGGTCTGTCTACAGCAACTGTCAAACTGATAGGTCCGGATGGAGAGGAGAAGATTGCATGTGCAGTTGGAACAGGTCCAGTTGATGCAGCTTACAAGGCTGTTGATGATATAATACAGGTGACAGTTGCAATATTCTTGATGGTTCTTGCACTAATATACCAGTTTAATGGGATGGAATATGGATGTGTTTTTTCAATATATGAGAATGAAACATCCTGCATCTGGTAACATAACTTTCAGCATGTTGCCTCCATGATAAATATACAAGAATCACAAGAATAGGAGATTCCATACTTAATAAGGATTAGCGTGTGATGTGTTACGACTTATGAGCATGCTTTCAACAAAATGAATGCACTATTTTGATGTTAACAGAGAAATTACCTACATCTACTTTCTTGATTTGTAAACTATCTGCATTCATTTTAGTAAAACTGGAGAAATTTTGAAACATCTAAGAATAATTTGCAATTCACAGATCCCAACTGTTCTTCGAGAATATAGCATGACATCGGTCACAGAAGGCATTGATGCAATTGCAACTACTAGAGTGGTTGTCACTGGAGATGTTAGCGACTCTAAACATGCTTTGACTGGTCACTCCTTCAGCCGGGCATTCAGGTTATAGTCCTTTATACTACCTTTTTTTTTTCACTGGGCACCTTCCTTCTATGTTGTTTCCAACATCTATAATTGTTATTATCAATTTAATTTTTCACATGAACTAATAATTTCTTTGCCTATTGATCTCAGTGGGAGTGGTGCCGCACTGGATATTGTTGTTTCCAGTGTGCGAGCTTACCTGAGTGCCCTGAACAAGATGTCCAGTTTTGTTGGGGCTATCAAGGCTAGTAGTGAAGTATCTGAAAGCCAAAGAGTTCAAACCACAGAATGAGTCTTGACTTCCTTTTGGGTTTTCATATCCGATGGTTCTATGTTTCACATTCCCAGCAAGGAGTATGTGCTTGTTGAAACATGGTTTTTCCGTCCAGAAAAAACATGGTTCCGTTTAGTGCATCTGGAGGATGTTCTGGGTTTCTTGGTGGAGCCTGACTTAAGGTTGAACATCCAGGACGTTTTGGGATATGCAGTGTATAATTCATATTTGAAAACCGTATTTACAATAAGACAATAATAAATAATTGTTTGACATATGAGTATTGCAAAACTATTACTGTAAGAAATTAATCGTGAGACCAACCTACGGTTGTACAGTACCGAGAACTTCTGAATTGAAGGTCAGCATTTCGAGTTGAACTAAAAGAGTGATCAGCAGCAGGGACGCAGCGCCAAGTGGCCAGAATAGAAGCCAGAAGGAACGAATCCGAGGGGGATCCCAACCAGAAGGTGCAAACGGCGATACCCACCAAGATAACATCCATCTTGAATCGGAATCGGATTAATCCTACTCCACTTCGCCACCCCCTCCTATATAAATCGTTTCATGTCTACTATGGAGGACTCATCGTCTCATCCTGCCCACGCCCACGCGCTTGGTGATCAAGTAGAAAGACGGAGGACGCCGCTATGATTGGCCACGGAATTGCTCACGGATGGCCAGTGATCAGTCCATCGTCATGTCCGAGCAACAGCGAGCTGTGTTTTGCTTGACATTGATGGCCGTCACGTACGGCCACTGCCGGCAGCCAGCCGACGCCGAACTGCTGCATAGGCTGCAACGTGCTGATCAGCCGCCGCCCATCCGCGGCGCTAGGGTGGTCGAAAACACCGAGCCTAATGTCCTGTTCGCGTATACTCCACACAATGGTTTATTGGTTTGTCACCGGAGTTCAACGACGACGACGGCGTTGCTGATTATTTTGCAGCCGATGATGACGAAGCTTACAGCAACGGTGGCTTCGGCGCGGTGCCGGCGTTGAGCGAGGCCATCGTTAGCCTGCCGGAGATGGCCGTCGGCTGCGGCTGCGGCGGCGGCGGCGAGGCGAGGGAGAAGGAGTGCGGGGTGTGTCTAGAGGGGTTCGAGGAGGGTGAAAAGCTCAGGAAGATGCCATGCGAGCACTACTTCCATGAGAGCTGCGTTTTCAAATGGCTTCAGGTCAGCCGTCTTTGTCCCTACTGTCGCTTCGCCATGCCTGCGGCTGAGGAGGAGGAACATAACAATGATGAAGAAGAAGACGAAGCAATGATATGCATCCGTTTCTTGTTCCCTGAGTAGATTAGTTTAATGTTCGGTATTCAGCAAGGAAGCACTTTTTTCCCGCTTTGTTATGTTTAACGATGAAACTAGAAGAAAGTGTAGTTGCTCATACACTGGGGTTATGATATCTTTTGATTATATAGAGAGTATTCACCGTGCATCTTTCATGAAGGCAACTTCTTAAGTTAAATTATCGGAATTTTTTAAACAAAATTATAATATTAATCGCTCGTGAGACCAACTTCGTTGTAGTTTAAGCCATTCTTCAGATTGGAGTTAAAAATTTCTTGTCAAGTGGAAGAATTTCAGCGCCGAGACCTTCTGAATCGAAGGCCAACATTTCGAGTTGAAACTTATATTGTTCTGAATCGAAGGCCAACATTTCGAGTTGAAACTTATATTGTTTTGAGTTAATGGGAAAACGTTGCATGTAGAGGTGGCCACTGCAGATAGCGGCAGGGTCGACACAGGCACGCAGCACCGGAACATAAGAAACGAATTCGAGGCAGAATCCCAATCAGATCGAAGAAACAATAGTGATGTCCCAGTTAATCGAGAGTGATTCGGATTCCGATCTGCCTCTTACAAAAAGAAACGATTCTAGCAGCTTAATCAGCAATAGCTCAATACTCTGTTGGTTTTGCCCCATAGCCACCGTACGTCTCCGATCTACGTTCGCGGCCAATCCAGTCACATATCCACTTCAAAACTCAAAGCAACAATGGCCGATGAACAGATCAGAGACCTGAACTTGTCGGAGACCCATACGTTGCTGCTCATCAACCTTTATTTGTCACACGTACAGGGGCCGAGCTACGTTCCACACGGTGTTGAATCAGCATACATCCACATCAATCGTGATATCGAAGAAGATGACGACACGTACAGTGATGACGGGTTCTGCGCCGTCCCGGCCTCCAGCGACGCCATCGCTGCGCTGCCAGTGCCAGAGACGACGGTGAGTGAGACCGAGACGAGGGAGGAGGAAGCATGTGCAGTTTGCCTAGAGGGATTTAAGGAGGGTGACAGAGTCAAGAAGATGCCTTGCTCTCATGACTTCCACGCGAATTGCATCTCTGAATGGCTTAGGGTGAGCCGCCTCTGTCCACACTGCCGTTTTGCTCTGCCTGCTGAGAGGGATTCTGAACAGAAAAACCCAGAAGAAGCGTGAGATAGAGCATATATGGATTTATGGTTATTGGAGTTTGGCTGCACATTGTAATGTCAAAAACATAATTGGTATTAGGAGTTTACAACGAATTAGAAATTAATTTGATGCACATCTTTTTTTGTCCATGCAACTATGCAAGGTTATTTTTATTTTGAGTAAATTTAGGCAGTACAGTGGCAATAAAGGAACACGGAGACTATAAAGTGCACCTCATGTGCTTCCTCGGTGAGATGGGCCGTGCCGGCCTGTCACGAACAGGCCGACTGTGCTTGGGCCTGCGTCCCCCACCCATGCGTGCGTGCACCAGGAAAAAGTACACTGAAGGTCCCTCAACTTATCATCGAGTTACAAAATCATCCTCCAACCGCAAAACCGGATACAACGCATCCCCCAACTTACAAAACCAGTGCAAACCAGGTCCCTTAGCGGTTTTGACCCCAGTTTTGTCTGACGTGGCGGCTGAGTCATCGTGGGACCCACATGGGCCCCACATGTCAGGATGCCACATCAGCTGACCGGCATCTCCCCTTCCTCTCCTTTCCTCCTCCTCCTCCTCCTCCTCCTCCTCTCTCTCTCTCTCTCACTCCTCTCTGGACTCGTCCGACGGCCGGCCGGCGACGCGGCAATGGAGGCACGGGAGAAAGGGAGGGCGGCGGCAGGGCGAGGCGGTGTCCGTGGATGCGGCGGCGGCGGCTACGACACGGGGCGAGGAAGTCCGACGGTCGACCGGCGACACGGCGGCGGAGACACAGGTGAAAGGGGAGGGCGCCTAGCTGCGGCCATGGCGCCGCCGCTCACCCGCCGACACCGTGTCGCCGGCCGGCCGTCGGACCTCCTCGCCCCGCGTCGCAGCCGAAGCCGCCTCGCCCTACCGCCGCCTTCCCTTTTCACCTGTGTCTCCGCCGCCGCGTCGCCGGCCGACCGTCGGACTTCCTCGCCCCGTGTCGTAGCCGCCGCCGCCTCTCCGCCGCCGCATCCGCGGACACCGCCTCGCCCTGTCGCCGCCCTTCCTTTCTCCCATGCCTCCATCGCCGTGTCGCCGGCCAGCCGTCGGACCTCCTTGCGCCGGCGACCTCCTCCCCACCGCCGGCCGGCCTTGCACAGAGTCCAGAGAGGAGTGAGAGAGAGAGAGAGAGAGGAGGAAAGGAGAGGAAGGGGAGAGGCCGGTCTGCTGATGTGGCATCCTGACATGTGGGGCCCACGTGGGTCCCACGATGACTCAGCCGCCACGTCAGACAAAACCGGGGTCAAAACCGCTAAGGGATCTGGTTTGCACTAGTTTTGTAAGTTGGGGGATGCGTTGAATCCGGTTTTGCGGTTGGAGGACGATTTTGTAACTCGATGATAAGTTGAGGGACCTTCGGTGTACTTTTTCCGCGTGCCCCACGACCGAGTTCGAACTTGATTCCGTCTCCGAACACGATCAGCATATCTCCCTGCAAAGCTCTTCAATAAATCTCTCTCTCTCTCTCTCTCTCTCTCTCTCTCTCTCTCTCTCTTTGTTTATTTTGAAAAAAGATATTCCAACAATAAATCTTGCAGTCTAGGTGGTATCACTGTATATCAATCTGTTCGTTCTGCCGGAATATGGCGGGTGAAGAACCATGGTCAAGCGAGGCCTCCGACGATGTCCCCGACACATCGCACATGTCGGACGAACAATTTCAACAGTTCATCGACCAGTACTGGGCAGAGCAAGGATTCAACATTTGGAGTTGGATTCGTGCTTCCAGGACGTCGTCAAGCTCCACGCCGGGGCCAACCAGGCGGACGGCGGCGTCATGGCAGGCCGTCACTTTCGACGGGGACGGCGTCGCGCGCTTCTCCGGCAACTCCGACCGTAGCGGCGGACTCGACGACCAAGCCACCAGCGGCTTCAGCATCGTGGACCTACTGGACGGTATCCTACAAGCGGATGACGACGGCAATGGCGGTGGAGCTACGCCGGCGTCGAGCATGGCGATCGTAAACCTGCCGGAGATTACCGTCGGCGACGAGAAAGGCGAGGCGAAGGACTGCCCGGTGTGCCTTCAGGGCTTCGAGGAGGGCGACAAGCTTAGGAAGATGCCGTGCGCTGATTCGCACTGCTTCCATGAGCAGTGCATATTCAGCTGGCTTCTGATTAACCGCCATTGCCCGCTCTGCCGCTTCCCGTTGCCTGCTGAGACGGAGGAGGATGAAGAGGTGGTCCAGGCAGAGAACGACGACGACGACGATGATGAAGAGACCATCCTATGTCTGCATCGACTGTTCGCTGATGCGGCTGATGAGTATACGAGTTGATCAGCATTGAGAGATGCAATTTCAGTTTTTGATGTAAATATGGATCTGAATGGCTGGAATTGTTCATTACACAATTATGCCATGTGAAAAGAGAATATCACGATTAATTAAGAGAATTTTTGAGATTGCTAATGCGCGCGCACGCGCGAGATCAGCAAGTCACGAGCGTTTCGGCGTTTGACATGGTCCTGCTGGGCCTCGTGACTTCGGAATCGCTAATTCGCGCGCCTCCTCCCACGCCTTTTTTACGTTTTTTTACCGATTTTTTTCATTTTTTCCCACTTTTTTCTGATTTTTTTAATCTTTTAGCATGTTTTGAGTTTGAAAGTTTTTAAATTTTGAGTAGAAAATTTTTAAATCTGAACTTGAAAGTTTTTAAATCTTGAGTTGAAAGTTTTCAAATCTCGATTTGAAAGTTTTCAAAATTTTCAAATATGGACTTGAAAGTTTTCGACTCTCAAGTTAAAAGTTTTCAAATCTCGAGTTGAAAATTTTCAAATCTCAAATTGAAAGTTTTCAAATCTCAAATTGAAAGTTTTCAAAATTTTTAAATCTGGACTTGAAAATTTTCGAATCTTGATTCTCGAGTTGAAAGTTTTTAAATCTCGAGTTGAAAGTTTTCAAAATTTAACTTTAAAATTTAAAACTTAAATCAAAAGTTTTCAAATCTAACTTAAATTTTTTTCAATCTGTTAGTAAAAAAATCTTCCAAAAAATTCTCCAGAATCTTTCCTAATTACTATCATTAGTGTTAAGTATATTACTAATAGAGGTAGTTAAGGCTTAAGAGGGGGGGAGTGCTCGCTAGCGACGCGCACGCGCTAGCTAGGAGCCCCCTCGTGACTTATCAACGCGATTCAGTCATGTATGTATATATGCTCCCTATTAACACATTCAATTAGTATCTTCTGGTTGTAATTGGACAACTGACGTATATACATGCATGCAGTGATTAGAACATTTAACTAAACTTTTTGACATAAGATTTAATTTTAAAATTGAAAATTTTGAAAACTTTCAACTCAAATTATGAAAACTTTCCACTCGGCATTTTAAAACTTTCTATTCAAATTTGAAAGTTTTCAACTCACAATCTTAAGAATTTTTCATCTCCAAATTCAAAAAATTTCAACTAAAAATTCGAAACTTTCAAATCAAGTTACAAACTTTCAAGTCAAATTTGAAAAACTTTCAACTCAATTTTTGAAACTTTCGACTCAAATTTGAAAACTTTCAACTTCAATTTCGAAAACTTTCAACTCAACTTGAAAACTTCTATGTCAAATTTCAAAAAGTTCGAATCAAAATTTAAAACTTTCAACTCAAATTTTAAAATCTTTTGACTGCAAATTTAAAACTTTCAATTACTTTTCAAAAAAAATTGGTAACTGAATTATTTATGTTACTGTTTTAAAAATAATGCTAATGACGGTAATTAACACTAATCACCGTAATTACCGGCGTCAGCTCGTGGACTACTAGTGAGGGGGCGCGCGCGGCTGTGCGAGTTAAGAAGCTGGCGCGCACGCGCCCCCTAGGAAGCCCTGAGAAATTTACAGTATAATATACTACCTATATATACTTGCAGTATTAATAAAAGGGGTTAAGTCCATTTTACCCTCCAACTCTTCGTTTTGTCTAAAATACACCCAAAACTATAAAACTGGATATTTCACACCCTCCAACTTTCAATACCGTTCACTTTACACCCTCAAGTGGTTTTTCAACTGGTTTTCACCAACGTGGCATTGATGTGGAAGTCCATTCAGCAAATAAAAATTTGGACCACATCTCAGTCCATAGCCACGGAGCCACTTCTTCTTCTTCCCTCATCTCCTCTTCCCTTTTTCTCTCTATCCTTCTTCCTCCCAGAGCACGAGAGCAGCGGCGGTGGCATTCTTGAGCTTGTGGAGTAGGAGATCGGTGGCGGTAGAGTAGGGGACTCGTTGCGGCGACGAGGCTCAAGCACATCCCCAGCCTTCCCTTCTGCGCTGACTGCCGGCGAGACCCAGGACAAGGTCCGCCTCTCCTGTCGTAACCGAGCTCGCCGGTGGAGCTAGAGCTGCTCGGGGACGTAGAGTTCGACGGTGGCAACGGGGCTTGGGGATGAGGAACTGAAGCTTGACGAGACGGCGGCGGCTGGCGGATGCGGATATGAGCTTGAGCTTGTCCTCTACCAAGCGTTGGCGGCGCTCCATAGGGAGGACTCCCCCCCCTCGTGTGTAGCTCCGGTGAGGTCCGCCTCTTGCGCGCGGGGCAGCAAGCTCCACCGTCGTCGCCACTCTCCTTGCCGGTGACCACCTCTGCAACCCTGGCAGCCCCACCGTCCTCGCAGCAGCTCCACACCACCGCCGCCAACGGTCGTGAGGAAGAGAAGCACGAACAGGGCAGGGAGAGATAGAGAATATGGGCTTGGCCCATATTACCTCGTGGGCTGACGTAGCGAGGGTTGACGTGGCATCTGACGTGTCAAAAACCACGGTAAAAACAGTTCGGGGGTTAAGTGTTCGGTATTGAAAGTTTAGGGTGTATTATATCTGGTTTTGTAATTCGGGGGTGTATTTTGGACAAGCATAAGAGTTCGAGGGTGTAAAATGGACTTTTCCCTATAAAAGGGTATATTAGCAATATATCAGCTTTATAATGTAAAGATGAACTTGAAATGAAGTGCAATTTATTACTCGTACAAATCTCACATGTTCCCCACTTCCTGTACAGGATATGCACTTTCACCTGGGCACCCTTTTTAAGTGAAGATACAAGC